AAGAAATTAAAAAACTACAGAGGCCTATAACTGACAAACTTGATAATATTACTGAATTAGCTTCGCTCATTCATAATTCGGGCGAAGCGAATTTGGACAAAAACAATGTTTTAGCAATCGAGGAAAATGTATCAAAGAACGGTCCGCAGGCCAAAGGCAAAACCGAAGGCGATGATGTAAGCGTCCCTGAAAGGGACTACGGCTCCGCAGGCGAATCAGATCAATTATTATCATTACCGAAATCACCTTCTGTGCATACCGCAATAAGTTTAGATCCGGATAAAGATTTAAATTTTGATGTTATTGAAAAAAAATTTAAATTTGAAAAACCTTCACATTTATTATCGTTAGACATTAGAAATCGAAATGCAAAAATTGATACAACGATACCCGAAATATCAACTAAATTAAAATCATTAAATGCACACATTACAAACGCAAAGAAATCACAAGAGCAAGAAAAAATTGATAATTTACAATATGTGTATTCACAGTTGAAAAAATATAAACGTGCTTTAGAAGATATTCGAAAAATTCCTTTCTATGAAAGACAGCAAACAGGAAGCAGTATTTTTTCAGATCCGAATGAAATGGTAGAACGTCTTGATCTATTAATAGCGTCAAAAACTCCTTGAAATGATTCAATTGAAGTATATAATGATGCGTAGAAATACTTGATAAATTGTTTAAAATGAAACTTATAAAAAAGTCAGATCACAAAAAGATATTCACGACACTTGGCATGCTTTTTTAAACTGAATAAATGAGCCTAATACACATCAGATCTAAAGAAAATTATTTTGAAATAAGTTATTCTGAAAATCCTATTAATTTATCCGGATTAAAAGGTGAAATTGCTTTAAAAACAGCAAGTCTCTGGTATAGTTGGGATAACATTACTGAAGAGTATAAAAATAATGAAATAAAATACAGGTCGTCCCTAAAGGGACTAGTGCAGCGCATATCTAAAGACCCTCGTGAGCATAAACAGAATGAAATTAGAAAAGATGGGGTTCGGGTTGAACAGGATTGGAAAATATTAAAATTACCAAACGGCTTGTACGATGAAAATGAATTAAATAATTATATCCAAGAATATTTTGGAACGTTTGAAACACCCCCGTTTTATTTTGATGTAAATTATGCAACTAATCGTTTTATGCTAATTATACGCGACATAGATTGTGAAATTGACTTTTCCCACGGAAAGATTCATGAGCTTTTAGGATTTGATAAAAAAATATATAAACAAGGAATAAACTATGCAACAAAAATTGGTAATATCACCAAAGATATTGATCAAATTTTGATTCACTGTTCCTTAATTTCATCTAGTTATCAAAACAATCTTAAAAGTGATGTTATATACGCCTTTACTCCAAATATTTCACCTAGATCTTTAATTAATATTGAACCAACGCATCCAAAATATTTACCAATTAATCGTACGGATTATATATTTCATATTCGCATTTCTGTTACAAATCAGCTAAATCAATTGATAAATTTTAATGGAGAGTGCTTAAATTTTGTTCTAGATATTCAGTAATTGTCTTCGCCTTTGGGGACGTCTTACCTGATTCTTTCTTGTAGAATAAATGGTACTTGTCGTTCATAGAAAACAATTATTTCCGAAACAATATGGGTTTGGTCTTAAATATCACAGAGATATTAGAGGTGGAAATATTTTTCAATCTATAAAAAAATTTGCTATACCAGCATTAGGCTTCTTATATCGCAATATACTAAAACCTTTTTGGAAAAATAATAAAGAGGATATCATTCAAGGTGTAACTTCAGGGCTTAAAAATATAGCGTCTACATACGTAAAATCACCGCCGTTTTCTACATATAAAGAGGAAATTTTAAATCCCATTCTAAACAAAATGAAAGAAAAATCGTTGAATGAACATTTACGAGGTGATGGAATAAAAAAGGGTCTCATGAGCAAACCGAATCGATTGACTAAAAAATCAAAGGATATCATTAAAAATCTGCTGAAGGTTGAGGATTAATTACCGTTTAAGTGAACTTTTTCTAGGTATTTCTCTCTGGGAAAATAATTAAAATTACTGACAAATTCCTCTTCACGTATATTTATTTCTTTTTCATTTATTTTATCAGCCTTATATAAATGCAATAACTGTCTATAAAATTTATAAATCAACTTATATTCTTCAATTCTTTCTGATATTTTTAATCTCTTATCTAATATTTCTATAACCCCTGCACCAAGAGATAAACAAACTAGTGGAGGAAGGGCTAACGAAGACAATCCCGATGCACTAAATAATAATTTACTAATAGATAATCCGAATCCAATTTTATAAAAATATATGTAACTTTTTCTGTATACATACAAGCGTTTTTCTCGATATTTTTCCATTTATAACATACAAATATTCTGAATCAAAGATTCATCATGAAGGCATAGCCGAATATTGAAATAGCTCATGAGTGGACTATGTCCACGAATTTTTTCTCATTGAAACTACACGGTATCTGTTTAAAAGAATATAATATATCATAAAAATCTTTGCCTCTGTTTACATTAATTATTACGTATATACAGCAATGGCCACATAAAACAGACGAATTCATTTGCAATTGTGTGTTGTTCCACGCAATATTTTTTCCGCTACTTAATAAATATGTTTTAATTTTTTCTGGTGGAGAAATACCAAAACTGAAATATGGTTTGTTTACATAACATACCCAGTGTGAGCCGTAACGATTAGATGGTTGAAAATTAATTATGCCTGATTCATCTTTTCTAATTTTTTTTGGTAACATGTCAATTGCAAAAACACCTCGAAAATTTCGCGTAGCTTCATGATTTTTCTCATTTTTCATAATATCAGATATTTCTATATTACTTAAGCCGTATTTCCTATCAATTTTATTCCTTGTCCATATGTCTCCGACTTGTTCGGATTCTTCGTTTTTTTTTTATTCTTTTTTAAACCATCTCCGAAGGCTTTTTGTGCTAATTTAGTACCTGCATATCCGGCTGCACCTAATCCCAATGCTTTGGCTGCAGCTATTGCTGCAGGAATTAAAGCAGGCAAAAATCCACCTATCTGTGTTGGAGAAAATTTGATATCACAGTATTTCTTCTTGTCTTTTTTACATTTTTTAATTTCATCAATCTGTTTTTCTCTCAATTTAATTGTTTTATTAGCTCTTTCTGTTAAATCAAATCTTATATTACAATCTATTCTTTTATCTTTGCAACTTTGGAGTTTTTTTATTTGATTAGGTGATAAATATACTTTATAATCAGTCATTTATTTAATTAAAAACTCGGCACAGCCTCGTGAGCCAAAGGCGAACTAAGCGAAGCGTGAGGCAGGCTACTTCATTTCCAAGTAAATCTTTTCATCTATGATATTCATATTTGCAATTCTTTGAGATTCAACTACAGCATATATATTGTAATTAATATTTTGATAATCTTTTAATGTCCAATTAACTTCTAGTTCAGACGATTTTGTTTTACTAAACAAATTTTCATCATTTTCTTTTGTTACATCAAAAGCAACAACTAAATATCGGTTACAAAAATCTTTATAGCTAACACACGTACCTTCATCCAAATCTTTTTTATAATTAGATGAAAGGAATGCGGCATACAAACGTTGTAAATCCTCATTATTCACCAGATATTCATAAGTAGGATGTTGCGTACCATTGATTTTAATATTTATTCTTTCTAAATTCATATTATCAAAAATCATCATTGTCTTGGTAAAATTATCATTTCGGTCAGCTCTAGAAAAAACTATAAAAATCGGTTGTCTGTAAAGTCGGTTTACTGACGATAGTTGAACGTGACAACGTCTTAAGAAAATACTGATGGAATGGTAGCATTTTTCAAAAGAAAATTTTAATTGCTGTCCACGCAGACGCATCGCTCACTCAAGTAGGAGAGAGACGGATGGCGAACGCTGCCGAACGCGAAGGCCGATTGTGCCTCTTTGTCGCTCGTTCCGCGTTCTCGCTTGCACTTCAAGCCTTACATGGAACGCCTCAGAGCGAGGTAACGCAACGCCTCAGTGCGAGGTAACGCCGCATGAGTCATGTTTTTTCGTGCGTGCAGCCGGCTCAATCGAATTATAAGACGTTGTCACATCAAAAACTCTAGATATTTTATTTTGATTATTTACAATGCGCCAGTTTCCACTTCCAGAAGACCACAAATTACTACGGTAACAGTTAAGCGCATTCCATCCACAAAGAAAGTTCGATTCGCTAACTAATAATGAAGATAACATTTCTTCAGTTTCTAGTGAGGGTTTTGCTATTGGGATCCACAAACTAATATCAGATATTTCATAATCATAATTTCCATCAACTTTAGCATGTAATATATTTTTCACTCGATTTTTACGTAATTCAATGCGAATTTTTCCATTCAAAACTTTGTTATAGTCTCGTACAAATCGGAAAATTTTAGATAAAGGGATAAATTTTGTAATAGTTTTTCCATCTTTTGTTAACAACCATCTCTCTAAATATCCTTTATTGAATGCAGAATTATTTGTGATTTTTGAAACAATAGTTTTTATATCGACACCTAAATCTTTAGATTTTTCAGATTTATTTTGCTCATCATATTTATATTGAGATGTATCTGCTGAATCTGCTGTGTCTGGATACCAACATAATTGTGATGCTGAAGTGTCAGACACATCTCCTGAAAATTCAATCAGATTTGAAATTAACGTAGCAACACCCACATAATTTGTTTCTTCTATTAATACACCTTCATAGAATAGCCTCACATAGTCAATAGTATATTATTTGACAAGCGCATAATGTAGCATATTATTCACGAGGATGAAAATTACACACGAGCCGCAGGCGAGTGTGTAAATCATCCGTGTGAATAATAGCCATTATGCGCTAGTTAAATACGACGTTTTATCTACGACTCTAAACAAATTATACACGTTTCACAAATAATAATTTATTTCAGAAACAATAAACAAAACAAATAAGTAATTAATTATTATTATTACTTGTCTTAGCAAGAAAATTAAATGTAAAATGGCCACTGCAGTTTGAAATCTGTATTGGCTTGCCTTTCATGTCAACACTGACATTACTACTGAGGGAATGGGAATTTTTAACAAAATTACTAGTTTCTCTTAAACCACAATTAGTTTCACTTGATGTACATGGGGGAGATGGATTCATCACAACTTTATCGCAGTTTACAGCAGCATACTCCTCTATGTTTTCACAGTTTTCTGCCATTACAGGAGCTCGAATTGATGTACATGGTGTTGACGAGGGATTCACCTGTTTAAAAATTTTCTTTGATGTTTCTAGTTTGTATCTCACACTGTTATCTATGTAGCCCTCTGCCACGGAGGAGCTTTTCCATCCTCCGTGGCGTTTTAAATCGGTTATGTCCCCTCCACCATCCACCAATAAAGTAGCCGAGGATCTACGAAAAGAGTGTCCAGTAAATAATTCTGGATTTGGGAGCCCCAAATATGCTGCAACTTCTTTCGGCATACCACCAAATTTATTGATACCTATTCTCTGCATAGTACATTTACCATTCTGGTAATTAAGGAAAAACACATCTGATTGCACTTCAGCTGGACGTAAATCAAGATACTTTTTGCATATTAAATAGTAATCTTCAGTTACTGTGAAAGATCTTCTAATCTTTGTTTTAGTGTTGGGCAGTGTTACCAAAAAAGCTGAATTCAAATCTTTGATGTCTTGAATTCGCATTGAATGCAGTTCTTGAGTCCTACATGCACCCATTATGCCCATTATCAAAGCCACCTTTAAAAAAATAATAAATGAGAACCTACAACATAATTTTGAAACAATAATTTCTTACCTTCGTTGCTAGATATTTTACATCAGGGGCTTCAGTGATGAATTTAGTTATTTGTTGAGGACTAAGCGTTTTCGCTTTCTTTGGCTGGTAATTTTCTCCTTGACGCTTTAAGAATGCTCTTAATTTATGGTACTGTTCTATATTAATGTTATGATTGATGTTGAGAGTACTTCGTAGCATGGAGTAATAAGTCCACAGCGTAGAAATTTTGTATTTACTTGATAAGTCTGCAAAGTATGCTAATATCACCCGTTCGGAAAATGAGGTAATCTTCTTTTCTTGTTTCCACTTCATGAATTGATTGTACGCTATTTTGTACAATTTTTGAGATTTCTCTGGTAACAGGTTAACAGCACCAGCTGCTTCTGCCACTTCGGGAGGTGTGCCAGGAAGATTTTCAGTGTTTTCATTCATTATAACTGATGATAACCTCTTATAAAAACACTCGTCGGTAATAAATTTTCGCAAGAAATCAAAATTCAAAACAATACGCACAATGGTGGCTAAGCGTCCGTAGTAGCAGGTGGCAACGTAAACAACGTCAGAGCCATCTACAATCTACAATCGCGAAATACGAATTCCGTTTAGATTGTAAATTTAAATTTTAAATCCTACACAGAATAATAACTGTTAAATATATAACACGTAAAAAACGAATACATACATAGTTTTGACGTTTATATTTTTCTAGAAAAAAAGGAACAGTATTTTAGGACATTTTGAAATAAATCCATTATTCACTAGTGTTTAATATTCATTAAACACTAGTGATTAATATGGGGTATTATGTATCTATAGTTACGTACATAATGCGTCTATTATTAAAGAGTCGTAGATAAAATCATTTATCCCATTATTTGATATGGTTGCATAATTATTTGGATCGTTTTTAATTTTAGATTTGACAAAAATATAAGCACCTGATAAATGTTTCCATCCACTTATGTTAGTTTCGATCGTATACTGTTCAAGTTCTTTCACATTGACATTAGTTTCTCTAATTTCATTGTAAGTATAACTTTTTGTTGATTCATCAATTACAGGTATTTCATCAATACGCCATAAATTGTGTCTACAACGTTTTCCATTTATTTAAATAAAAAGAAGGTTGATGGAATCAGTGTCCACACAGTGGACTATGATTCTTATTGTAATAAATGAAATGTATTACTTCGGTCTGCCAGTATTTTTTACTATTTTTTAGTATTTCATCTTTATCAGGTAGTCCCTTGGAAATGAATATTACTAATTATTTCGAGCAATTTGGGTATTCAGATAGTAATGGATCATCATTAACAGAAACCAATGAAGCATTAATAAGGTTTCAAGAATTCTACAATTTACCAACTGATGGAACTTTGAATCAGGAAACACTTGATTTAATGAAAACACCCAGATGTGGTGTCAAAGATAATCCAACAGCTTATAGAGTTTATTATCAAAAATGGAATAACACAAATCTTAAATGGTATTTTTCGTTAGCTACAAACGAAATGAAAGAATTAGCAGAAAAAGCCTTTGATCAATGGAAATCTGTTTCAAATTTAAAGTTTAATTACAATAGCGTTAAACCGGACATACTTATTTCATTTTCTAATACGCTGTTTCAACATAATCATAATTCACGGTGTCAACAAGGAATATGTTCTAGCAGTTTTGATGGAAAAGGTAATGTTTTAGCACATGGCTTCTTTCCAAATAATGATGAATGTCTAGGAATTCATTTTGATAAATCAGAAAATTGGTATTTTGGGGAATCAGGCAATACACCTGATGGCCAAACTAATTTTTATACAGTATTATTACATGAAATCGGACACACATTAGGTACTGAACATTCTGCAAATAATAATTCAATTATGTACGCCTATTATAAAGGTGATATTGATAAATTAACTCAAGACGATATGTGGGCAATTCAATATTTATATGGAAGACCTGAACGATTAAAATATGAATTAATACCAACAACAACAACAGTTAAACCTACTGTAAGACAAAGCGTCCCTGAAGGTCAGCCTAGAGGTATATTCGGTAATTTATGTGATTTTAATAAAGAAATTGATACATTCTTAATTGCAAATCATCATATGTATATTTTTTATAAGAAATATGTTTGGTAGTCAATTTAAAAGACATGACTTATGATAAAGAACCAAAATTTATTAAAGATTATTTTTATTTTTTGCCAGATGATTTTCAAGAAATTTCACATATTTATAAAAAGACCTTCAGGTGATGTTTTAATGATTGTTAAAAATTTATATTATTTAATTGATTTTCCAAGTTTTAATGTTAAAAGTGGATATAACGGTCAATCTATTGAAAATTTAGGAATACCAAAAGGAAAAAGAATTGATGCAATATTTAGAACTTATTCTGGAAAAACATATATATTTTATGATAAAGTCTTGTACATTGAGTTTGATGAGTGTTTGTTTAGATCAAAGAAAAATGGCCTTATTTCAGAATTATTTGCTGGAATACCTCCAAATATAAGCAGAGCATTCAGATATAGAAATTTATATTTTTTTAAAGATAAAATGTATTATGAATTTGATGATATTTCGAATGCATTAGTTAAATCTGATAAATTTGACTTGACAGTTTTCGGATTTAAATGTGGACTTATCGATCAAATAATAAAACTGATTCAACGTCTGTGATTCAACTAAGGTATGCTGTATGCATAGTTTCATTAACTGAAGGAATTTATACTTGAAATATGTATATGTACTCCTATATTTTTAAATGACCTTAAAGACTTGGTCATTTTCTAAGGTGTATACCGTTTGGGTATACACCGAATTTTCCAACTCACATAATTCTTTTAAATAAAGTTTATATTCATCTATTTTTCATTAACAAATAGTTTTCACATCAATTTTACAGACAGGCTGTTTTACCCCATCAGAAAAATTTATCAATATTTGAAATTGATTAAAAACTTGTTCAATGGGTTGATTTCTAGAATCATTAAATTCGGGCGAAGCCCTCATGAGCGAAGCGAAATTTGAACTGTTGTGCTTAACATACCCATCTACATAAGTTTCTATAGCATGCGTTTTACCTTATTTAGACAAGGCCAAATCATCAAAAAAACAAAGTGTTCTGAGGGGGCCTACTAGTATAAAATTCAAAACAGGGTAAAACCTTTGAAAAATGTTAATTTTAAGTGTTTTTGAAAGAAAAATTTGTTTGGACCAAACTGTATTCTTGTTTGAAAAAACGGTGTATTTTCCTTGAAATGTTGACTTTTTTTGAAAAGGGTGATTTTGAAAAACCGAGCAAATTCTTTAAAAATTAAATTTTTTCACAAGTTACTAACCATATTAACCAGGCTAAAAGCTTTAAAAATGTGTTGTGTTCTGAGGGGGCCTACTAGTACAAAATTCTAAACAGTATAAAATCTTTGAAAAATGTTCATTTTAAAATATACTTTAAAAAAACAAGACAAGACGGTGAGGTTTGTTTGTAAAATGTATTTTCACGGCACTATGAACTGTTTTTTAAAAACAAGGCAGAATCCTTAAAATTTGAACTGTATAAACTTAAAAACAGGTTAAAATGCTTTGAAATATTTGCTTTTTTAACATACATTAAAAAACAGGTCAGTCTTTAAAAATGTTACTTTTTAAAAAACTACCTTAAAAACGCATAATCCTTAAAATGTTAACTGTTTTTCCGAAGGTGAATTTTTTTAGCCGAAATCGAATCTTATATTTCTTAAAAACAGGGCAGAATCCTTAAAATTTTGACTTTTTAAAAAAGGGTGACTTCGAAAAATCGAGCAAATTCTTTAAAAATTTTAACTTTTTAAAAGTTACTTTGAAAACCAGGCTAAAAGCATTAAAAATGTGTTGTGTTCTGAGGGGACCTACTAGTACAAAATTCAAAACGGTAAAATTTGTAATTTTGAGTGTTTTTGAAAGGGAAATTCGTTTCGCTCATGAGGACTTTGTCCGAATTTGTTTGGACAAAACCGTATTCATATGTGTGCTGAAATGCCCCCAACAGAAAAAACAGGGTTAAAAGACGAATTTTAAGTTTTATTTTATATTTTATATTTATTTTAATATTTATTTTAAAATATTGGGTATCAACAGGTCCAAAAAGTTATTGTTATAAAACTAATACAGGTAAAGTTGTTTGCAAAATTAAAGGATTTACATTAAACTATGAAACGTCCGAAAAGATTAATTCCGATAGCATGAATAATATTTTAGAACACAAAGACAGTAAAATTAGTACACAATATAATCGAATTACCAGAGATACTAAAACTAAAGAACTTTTAAATAAAATAGAAACAAAGGAATTTGGTTTTGTTTATGACAAGCGAGTTATTCTAGAAAACTTTGATACAATACCATTTGGATATTAATTCTTTTAGTTGCTAATTAATAATCCTTTATTATTGTTCCTGGGTTAAATAGTTCATGATTGGTTATTTGTCGCAGCACACAAAAAAATAGGAGAAGAACTTAATAATCTCTATTCATTTTTTTACTGAAGTGGCCCATCCCTAACAATAAGACCTATAATTTTTAAAATCCAAGTGTTTATAAATGGTAACTTTTCTTGGCCGAAACCGTATTCACGTTTGATAAAACAGGGTATATTTCTTAAAATTCGCTTCACTCATGAGGACTTTGTCCGAATTTTGACTTTTTAAAAAAAGGGTGAGTTCGAAAACTCGGACAAATTCTTTAAAAAATGTTAATTTTAAAATATATCTTAAAAACGGGAGTCTTCACGATTTTTCTGCTTTTCTGTTAACCCTTGAAAATCGGGGTGTTTTCCTTAAAAAGTAGCTGTGTTCTCAAGGGGCCATCTTAGTAGTCCTAAGGTCAAATAAAAATTGCATTAATAAATCGCAAGTGTAAAATTATGTTATTTTATAAATTTTCTTAAAATTTTAGGTCGGAATAGGTATCTAAATTTTGGTTGAACTAACTCGATAGACATGTACAACTAGTAAAAAGAAAATGTTACTAATGTCTATCAAACTTGCATATCTGTTAATAAAAAAATCGCCTTGGCGTTAATTTTATTAATGAGTTATCCGTTTGTCATGGCACTCATGGCGTCAAAAAGACAGACAGATAAGATTTATTTTTGGTTTTCCTTATTTTCTTTTGTGACACTTTTGCATATCCACTGGTTGTAAATCCAACTTTCAAGATACACAAGAAATTTTACAGATCAATACAATGTGAAGCGATTTTCCATAAATTTAATGTGGCAACAATGTCGGGATTGATAACGTCGGTTTACTGTGTTATTTATACTGAAATGGGACTGAGAAAGCTGTTGGATATAGTGGGTCTGGTAACGTTGGATGAATATGGTGTTAACTTTTTTCATGGAATAATTTTACCCCTCTACTTTTTTTTAAGTCTGTTATTGCAAAAACCATTAAATTTATTATATTATACTCGGAAAAACAGCCGGGCTTGGTAACGTCTGTTTAATATGTATATATATATAGATAATAATTATATTTCTCGTCTCTGCAAATTCAAAACGAAATAGTGAGGTTAAGTTGAAAAAGAACTTGTAAATTAACTTTTGAAAAAACTTACCTGTTTATCTAGTAGCTTATTCATAATTATCCATAAACTTTACGCTATTCAAAACTTTTGATTGTGAGTAACTTATGTATTCTACCATAAATGAAGACGACGAGCACTGCACGACTATACAAGATTCATATTAGAAAAACAATGGCGACTCACCCTACATTATGGCGCCAACGTTTTTCAGGAAACATAGTAGAAACATTTCTGAGGCGCAGACCGATCAATGTTTTTCTAAATAATTCGGAGATGTGTAATAAATGTTTCCTAAACTATGTTACAGGCGTTTCATTTAACGGTTGATTACACAGGTCTACAAAAAAAAATCGCAGTCATACGCTTTTTGTCTTTTGAGCATAAATGACTTCCTTGTATCCTAAAACTTCTATAAAAATGATTTTTGCCGTTTGTGCACGTCTAGTTTAATTTTTATTGGAGTCCGAAATACGAAAAAACACGATTTTAACACTTTTCAAAAAAATAATAACTTGCCCAATAATAATAATTTTTATGAAATAATTAGCAAATTTTATTTATAAGGATTTGAATAAATGGTTTTAATTAATTTTAGATGCTTAAAATCGTTTTCTTTTTGCTTGACGACTGTAACAATTCGATGAACACTCCGTTTGCAGGAACCAACAATAATCTCCCATTGTTTATCCTGATCCCTTACTTCGAAACTGAGATATTGGTGATACATCAATTTAATAATATGCGATATATGCAGACGTTGACATTTTATAGCATATTGACCGCAGATGTAACAAAATACATTAGGGTTGTTTTTACACATGTACAATTGGTTTCAAAAAAAACAGGACAAATGAAAGTGACATAAACGTCATATTTCCATTGCTTTTCGATCTATGATTTACTCATCTTGTCCCGTTTTTTGTGAAACCAATTGTAAGTGCGATCTTTTTTTAATATTACACTCATTTTGCAAAATTACACACAATAAGAATTTTGACATAACTTCTAAATGTCATTTAAATTGTGCCACATGCCTACTGGACTAAATCATCGAATCCGATTTTTTCAACTCGTGTAATAAGGGCAGTACAGATGCACGTTTTATGTGAAAAATGGCAATTTTACGATATAAAATTACGTGTAGCACAAAAATGTGACGTGATGGAAAAATTTGGAGAGCAGATTTGAAATCTACATAAAAAACTGCATTAAGTGCACACATTTTTATTAAAGGAGTATTTTGGTTGTTGACCAATGTTATAAACGTTGCATTAATGTTTCATGTTTACTGGGATTTTACCAAATTAAAACATTTGGTGGATATGTTATCTCAAAACAAAAACATTTACAAAAGCACATATTCCCAGTTAATATCAGCTCAAACAACAACTGGTTCTCTGGTAGCTATCACTCCGCAATTATTGCAATACGCGTCCAGTCGCCAGTATAATGGCTGGTTTTAATGCTGGGATTCCCGATCGCGAGACACAGATGACAGTGACTATATAGAGATAGATAAGAAAAGGAAGCAAGTTTATCACTATTTTATAAATCACCCAGTATGTATGTTATTAATTTATTAACTTTGGATAAGAAATGAATTTATTTGGATAACAAAAAGCGCCTGTAAAATTAAAATAGGCGTTACAAAAAGAATACATTCGGTTTCATTTAACATACATTAATACAATACATAAGTTGTGCATACCTTTTGTTATTTAATAAACACTATCAGACCGAACATTTTGTCTGCTCGACGGTCGAGATGAAAAAAAAAGGACGTCGCACAATACGGCGTTTGACACAAGCCCTTCTTTTCCCCTTCTCTTCTTGCCAGTTCTGACAGTACCAACTTAACTTATAGCTCTTACATTTTACCCTAACATGGCTTAGTCTGATTTCACCATTGAAGGTCGCTTTACAAAATAATTAATACTCAACACTCCTCCTTAATTATTTTAGAGCGTAAATCTTCAAAAGTTTTGCGAGATAACGCTTTGGTAAGTATATCTGCCAGCTGATCAGAACTTCTAACATGTTGCAGTCTAACTGTCTTGTCTACGTGCTCTTTGATGAATTTTCTAGGAATTTCAATGTGTTTCTTGCCTTTAGTTATTTTTCCATCATACGAGTTCTTCAGCATGTGAATAGCGGATTGATTGTCGACACATAGCGTTGTTGGTTTGTCTGATGTAAAAATTTCCAGTTCTTTTCCAATCCTGCGAATCCAGCAGACGTCATCAATTGCTGAGACAGCGGCTCGATATTCAGCTTCTGCCGTAGATGTTGCGACCAGTCGTTGTTTCTGCGCGTACCAGACAATTGGTCCGCCTCTCATCACAAGGACTCCGCTAGTCGAGTGTCCGGTGAGTGCATCGCCACCATAATCAGAATCGGTGTAGGCGATGAGCTCGGTATCTCCATTGAACCAGATTCCATAATTTACGGTTCCTTTCAAATACGCAAACACTCGTTTCACCATCTTCCAACTGC